AACATTAATCCTTAGTAAATTCACCTTGGAGGAGCAATGCACAAAGATAAGATGATACAACTTTGGGTAAACAAAAGCCTTTTACTAAAGCATCTAAATATGGCAGTAACTAAGGAGGTCATTTGCAGGTGTGCTGCTTGGAAAGCTACTAACTTTGGGAGTAAAATGATGCTGTCAAACTCATCTTTACTGTTCAGATTGGATATCTGATGACATCCTGTGTTCTATTTAAAAAAAATAGCCCCAGAACAAAAAAGGAAACAAAACAGTGCCCCTCCTTTCCCAAGTGGAGCTTTCTCTTGGCTATCGTCCCACAAATATGTTCATTGAAACAAAACCAAAAATATATTTAAAGGCAGACCTAAGACCAAAATCCCCTTTAAAGAAAGCTGTCTTACAGCCATTTGTGGAAAAATGTTGTGTCCATGACCTCCTATAGGTCACTGTCATAATCTTTCAGTAGACTTTAAAATGAAAACTTCAGAAGCCTCCACCTTTAAAAAACACCTTAGATGCTTCAGAAAAGAGGATTTAAAATCCATCTTGAACTCATCCAGGAACATGCTTTTATTATTTTTATTTTGTTGTTTCATTCATTTAAATAAGCAATGTTTGAATAAAAATTAACATTTAGTAAACAATTAAATGGTTCAAAGACATTCATAATTCTTCCTAAATACTATAGTTTTAAGATTTGTTTGGAAACCAGCCATCAAGTAGATATGATCTGAGATTGCAATGGTTCTTATTACTTTGCTATATCACAGTCACATGATATAATTCAAACTGTAAGAATGAGTGGAAAGACTTCATACCAATGAAAAAATGTGTCAAAGAATGTGGAACAAGTGTATATGTCCTCGAAGAAAATCTAAAAGATAGCCAAAATCTAGAAGTCCCTCCTTCCAAATAAAGAAGATACCAAATAAGAGGTATTAATAACTTTTAAAGTAGAACACTGGGATTGTTTTTTAAAGATATGATTCTTATAGCCACTGTGACCATCGTACAAATCCTGAATAAGTAAAGCCAGTGAAACATTCTAGCATGGAAGTGGAAAGGACTCATGGGCCTCCACCCCTAACAGGTTCTGTTGACGTGTAATGGCTTCTGGAGCAGGGAGGTGAGGGGAAACATTGTCAAGAATGTGGAGCTCCACTCCTGCTTTTCACCATTCCTTCCCACTCTGCTGAGAAAAACAACTACAATCTTCATAGTTTTGTTGCGTTTTAGCTCACATTCACAAAGTATTTGGTGTCCTTATGAAACTTTTCTTCTCATTATGAATTTTGCTTATGGTTACATACTTGTCTATGTCATCCTATGAATGTTCACTTTATTTTTCTGAGAATTATTCCATCATATTAAATGTAACAGATTATCCATTCTGTGGGATACATTACGGTGTTTATGACTATTACAACTAATGTCACAGTAACCATTACTAGCTTTATCTTATTCGGGATTTGTAAGATGACCACAGTAGCTATAAGAATCATATCTTTAAAAACCAAATCCCAGTGTTCGACTTTTAAAAAAGTATGCTTTTTTTCTGATTAAAATTATTGTCTTTTGTAAGGTGTTTAAACAAATTTCACTATAGAGCACAGTATCTTATTCCTCTTGTCCCATTCCTTCACTAACATTTTGTATTATCTAATCTTTTCATACTTGCTGTGGGAGTGCTTTTTAAAAATCAGCCATGTGTTTATGTGTGTGCGAACATAGGCACTCACATTGCACAGCCCATGTGTGGGATCTGGAGGACAACTTGCAGGAGTCAGTTCTTTCCTCCTCACAGACAAGTCCCAAGGATCAAACTCAAGTAGGCAGGCCTGACAGCAGGTGCTTGCTGTCTGCTAAGCTGTCTACCCAGCCTTCGGTGGATTCAGACAAGTTACCCTAGTGTTTTAATCTGCAGTTTGCCCAATGTTTGATTACTTGAGAATTCTCTTTAGAAAACTGCATTTTAAAGATTCTTAAGCAAACATTTATAGGATTATCTGCCATAATTTTAGTTGGTTGGTTTGAGTTTATTAGTAGTTAATGTTATTTTAATTAATATCCAATATATACTACTTTAATTAAGACTTGATTTTACTAATAATGACAATAAACCCAGTCCTACTTTAAATGTGAATGCATTGTCAGATATGTGCCTATACTGTGGCTTGCCAGTTTTATCTGTAATAGCTTCTGATGAATTTGTACATTGTTTGTCTTTTCACATTCAATTTAAGGAAAGCCTTTTCTTGCCTCAAGGTTATGAAACTATAATGATATTCTCATTTTTGCATATGAACTATGAACATTTCCTTAAATTCCCCCCTCAAAAAGATTGAGTCAATTCTGTATAGTACTAAAACGTGCATAGGCATTTCTTTAACTTCCTTTAACCACAGAAACCTAACTCAAATTGTGAGCTTCTTGTTTTTGCAATTATTTTAAGATATTCCAAGTGTCAAATGGTGAAGTATATTTTTTACTTAAAATTTTAGAGATTATAATGTAATTCAACATTTCTCCCTTTCCTCCCTCTAAATGCTCACATATAGTACTGACTGCTCTCCTTCAAAGTAATGAGTTTCCTTGTCATGTTTTACACATATTTCTAAATAACTGTGATTATATTAATCCTATTACAGTCTCCTGTCTCCACTTACCCTTCTGCTGGCCCCTTACCCTTTCTGCATCGTACTACTTCTACTTTACTGTGTTCAAGATATTTTTAATATTTTAACTTGAGCATTATGTGAAATAAACCTGTAATATTTATCTCCATAGGTCTGGTTTATATGATTTAACACAGTGGTCTCCAGTTGCATTCATTTTCCTACAAATGACATGATCTTGTTCTGCTTTGTGACTAAAAATACTTTGTTGTGCATACTTTTTTTTCTTTTCATCCATTAATGGGTACCTAGACTGACTCCATATCTTAGCCATTGTGAATATTACTGTAGTAAATATGCATCTGGAAGTATCTCTATATATGCTGAAGTAGATTCTTTGTGGTACTGACTCGGAATTAGCATGTTTGTACCATATAGCAATTATATCTTTCAGTTTTTAAGGAACCTCCATTTACACAGTAGTTGTCCACAACAATGTTCACTTCACTCTGGTGATTTTCTCCTTTACTGTGAAAAACCATTTTAACTCCATGTCGTCTCATTTACCGACTCCCCTTACTCTCCGAGTCCCATCAACCATGGCTTGCATCTGTTGATATATTCCCTTATATTTTCCCATAACACTTTCAAAGCTTTGGGTCTTTTGCCCAGTATTTGGAGTCTTTTCTGAGTCCATAAGAATTTTTAGAATCTTTTTCCTGTGGAAAATATCATTGAAATTGTGATAAGCAGTACATTAATTTTGTAGAATGCTACATCTGAATTAATCTTGTCTCTCAAACTCCCCCAGTAGCCCCTCCTATATTCATGGTCTTCTCTTTAATTATTATTATAACATGTTTATATATAAATACGCACATGTGCATACATGCATGCTTGCATACATACATACATATCCCATTGAGTTCATATAGCAAATATACATGTGTCCAGGAATGGCCACTTGGAAGTAGACATCCATGTGGGAGCTTATCCCTGAAAGAAACTAATTTACCCTCTTTGTTGATTACCTGTAGCTATTCACCTATGGGTGAACCATGTGGAATTTTCTCTTTCCATTTTGGCATATCAACTGGTGGAGTCATTATACTGGTCTTATCAGGGGACCATATTGTTGGGAGTTCATGGATATATTTTTCCCTGTCATACCTAGAAGACACTTCCTAGCCACCAGGCATCATGGACTGCTGCCTCTTAGAATCTTTTTTGTCCTCTCTTCTATGATTTCCCCTGAGTCTTAGGACACTCTTAGTGTAATCTCTCTTCCTTCTCTCACTCCCTGTATTAGTCAACTCCTCCCATTCTCAGTTAAAATCAACCCATGTTTATTATTAGATGCTTTGTAGTGGTTGTCCTCTGCTCTTTCCATCTCTCTTCCTTCCCACTCCCCATCGCCCAGAGTCCCTTCCAAATATCCTGGGTTCTTTCAATATTTCAGAGTAATATTACTATTCATAGATATAAACTTCCTTATTAGATTTAGCTTGTTCTTTTCTTCTGAGAAACCTCATGTAATTCTGATAATAATCTCTTTGGAAAGCAACTTATATGTCCAGTCCTGTGACCCTTAGCAGTCTCTCATTGTTCCAAACTTTGGAAATTTAAGTATAATGTAATGTGAAAAAAATCTTTTCTGGTTGTATTTATATTTAGGATTCTAAATGCTTCCTGTACTTTAATGTGGATTTGGGTAGTATTCTCTAATAATTTCATGGAATAGGTTTTCTCTGCCTTTAGTTTGTATCCCAGGCTCTTCTCCCAGGATTCTCCTATTTGGTCTCTTCTCTGTGTCTCATCAAGAGTTCCTGAAAGCTGTGTTCATTATTAACTGATTTTTCCCACATTGATACTTCATTGTGATGATTCCTCAGTAAGCGCTATTCTATGATAATTTTCTTCTGCTTGATTTCATTCATGGTAAAGCTACCACTTGGCTTACTTTATAAGAGTTTTGCTTTGTTGTTTTTATTTTCAGAATCTCTGTTTGCTAAGTTTCTTGCACAAGCCCAGATTTCATTACTTCATTTATTTGTTTATGTGAATATTCTTTAAAACAATTTATCATTTTAAAAAGTAAAGACTTTGTTCCACATTTTAATCATTTCCTTATCTTTTGGACTAGTTTTTGATGCATTGTGAACAGATCTTTAGATCTATGTCTTTGATGGTATATTTCCATCCTTATTAGAGGGGTCCTTGGGTAATTTGTCTTCTCCTTAAGTTTTCCCAGTTGATTTTAATAAAAAATAAGTCATGTTTTATTTGGCTAGATTTTCCATGATCTAACCTGTTGCTATCCTTATTTTTAAGGAATATATTTATAAGTAGTATCTAGTGTACTTTTAATCCAGCTTTGATTCCATTTCCCTTTAAATTGAAGCAATTACTTTTTCTATGTAATTACTAATATGTTTATGATAGAAGTTCATTGAAATGTATAGACTTTTGGGTCTTAGTCACTGCTTAGTGTATTAATAGAACTGTGTGGTGACTTTTTTGTAAATTCTTTTTTGTTTTGGAGGCTTTCGGTCCAGCCCAGCCTCGAATTCACTGAGATCCCCCTGCCTCTGCCTCCCGAGTGCTGGGATTAAAGGCGTGCGCCACCACCACCCAGCTGTAAATTCTTTATAATAAAGTGATTTCATTAAGAAAGAATATGATTAAACTAATTGTATTATATTTCATTATATTCATTTCCCTTCGTTACATCATTTAAAATTAATTTAGATATATTGATCCCCCTTAATTTGCTTGTGAATTATACCTTCCTCTCTCTCTGTTCTCTGTCTCTCTGTTCTCTGTGTCTCTCTGTACTCTCTCTCTCTCTCTCTCTCTCTCTCTCTCTCTCTGTGTGTGTGTGTGTGTGTGTGTGTGTGTGTGTGTGTGTGAAGGTCTCCTGTACCTAAGGTTGGTCATGAACTTACTACATAACCGAGGATAACCTCAAGTTCTAATCCTCCTGCCTTTACTTTCTGAATGCAGAGATTGCATGTGTGAGTCACAATACCCAATGAATGCAGTATTGAGGACTGAAAGCAAGGCTTCCTGCATACTTGGTGAGCATGCGATCATCAATCTGAAGCACACCTACAGGTCAATTATACCTTCTATCACCATAGTTGGGTTCATATTCTCCTGAAAACGGCATGCATCCAGGACTTAAAATCTTTAACATCACGTATTTGCATTTCCCAGAAAACACTAGGAACTCTAGTGTTTTCACTCTGTTTATCCTTATCCAATAGTCAACAGTTTACTCTCTTTTTCTTTGAAACTGTATTTATTTGGGGTAGTATTTTCTGCTGAGTGTAAAATTATAGAAGACAGTTTTATTCAGAAGTTTGAAAATACCATTCCATTGTACTTTACTATTTCTACTGATAACTCAATGAAAATTTGTATTGCATACTTTTGAAGTTAGTATTATTTTGCTGTTCAAATATTTCTGAGTATATATATATATATATATATATATATATATATATATTTCAACAGTTTTACTAATAGTGGTTTTCTTTTCATGGTCGTCTTTCACTGTGGAAATTCTTTTCCTTTGCTTCTTCAGTTGATTCTCTCTCCTACATCTGCTGTGCTAGAACTCCAATTAGTAATTTCTCTGGAAGAGATTGTTAATGCACTTAGAAAAGTCTTATTAACCAAATTTATCATAAATAATTTCTAGTATTTCTGTCAAACCAATAATCCTAATATCAGCTTCCAATAGTTTATGTAGCCCACCCTTTGAGATTCTTTTTCAGTTCTTACATTTTCATAGCAACTTAATTTCTACTTAGTTCTTGTTTTTATAAATTCTAGATCTTTCAAATTAATAATTTTTTCACCAAATTAATCTCTTCTAAACCTATTCATCATAGGTCTTTTGAGGTAGTTAGATATTTTTTGAAAAGTACCATTTAAGGGTTTGTTTCCTCTCCTGTTTTTCCATGCCTCCTATTTTTTTAATTAAGTGATGCTAAATGTTGTATTTATTAACTATTGTGTTTGTTAACCTGTTGAGACTCTGGATAATGTTGCATCTCTGCATGGGTCTGCTTGACATATGAATATTGCTAGGTTACCTACTTATTTTTTTTGCTTATAAATATTTCCTTCTTTATTTAATATACTAATAGTGAAAACAGAAGACTATAGATGCCAAGTAAGACACTTTATGCAAATAAACAGTGATAAATCATTCCAGAACCAAGATATTGAAAAACATTGAAATAAATGTTTATAAAATTGACATGAAATTGAACCTATTCATTACTTGGTATATTAAATAATAGATTACAGACATAACTATTCAACTTTTAAATACAGAATTAGTGACAAAATGTAATGATTCCTGAATTGTCTTAAACTTTTCTAAATCACATTTCATGTTCTCTGTATTTAAGTATACTGTATGGATATGTGAAATAAACCACTTCTTATTTGTTTGAAAATTGAGCTACAAACACAAAGCAGAGTGAACTGGTAATGGCATTTGTCTTTACACTCGCAAATCCTGCTTCTACGGTTAAACTTCTCCCACAAACTGACACCTCTTAATGGTTACCTACTTATAATCCTAGACTCAACTACAGAATTGGTAATGCTCAATCTGTCCTTTATTAAGTCTAATTTTCTCATATGTGGACACCTGAATTCCACATTTAAGTTATGGTTCCTTTTTGTTTGTTTTGTTTTGTCTTTTCGTCAGAATCCCTTCCTCTTGGAAGTTTCTGAACTGTAGCTTTTGGCTCCTTAAGACTTTGAGATTATAAAACTCTGCTCAGTCCTTCATTGGCTGTCTGCCTAGCTTCTTACACTCTTATTTCATCCACTTATTTTATACACTTAAGTAATTCATCAAGTAACTTCTTATTAGTCACCTAGAGAATCCAGTTTTGTTGTTGTTGTTTTATTTTCTTAACCAAACTTGAGGCATTATGTCATTAGTTATCCCCATTTGAAATAGCCACAAGATTAAAAAGTTTAATGTTGGAGAAACTTAAGGCATCATCTCTGTTGGCTCCCCTCCCACATAGTGCAGAAATGCCTCCTGCAGCATCCTTGGCATATGCTCATCCGGTCTCAATTTGGATATCTTCAGCAAAGGAGCTCATCATTTCCTGAAACAATCCATTCTGTTGGACAACTCTATTTTAAAAATCCTTATGTTGAGCTAAAATATGCCTTTTTGTAACTTATACTCATTTACTCATTGTTTCAAGTTTTCCTTCTGGAATTAGTCAAAACACAGGAACATTTCAGATAGCTGTATTTAAAGCAGAACTAAATGCCATTTCTGCGTATATATATATACCACTATTTTATTGCTGTCTTGTTTCAACTCATGGAACTTAAATTACTGAACTTGGAGTAATAATCATAAGGATATTTTGTAGTGCTACAATACTGCCTTTGTAATATACAAATTTTTCTTACATTTTGAAGGAAAAAAGTTTGTTTAGTTAACTTGAGTTTAATATATACTGGTGTGTATGTATTACATACACATTTACATATATATTTTAATGTTTTTCAAGACTGGTTCTCCTAACTGAGGCTACCCGGGGACTTAGACACTTCGGCTTTAATCTCCTACTGTTGGAAGTGAAGGTATACACCCCATCCTCAGTTTGAACTTAATTATTTTTATATGAAAAGGAGGAAGTATACCATATGTTCTCAAAGATGATAGTCCATGACCCTTGTGGATATGTAGAGAAAATGAATCTTCATTTGCCAATATGTATCAGAAGTCCAGAGTCCATATTGTTATTTTTTCTTGGTTCTTATAGGTTATTTAAATATTGTTGTTAATTATTAATAACAATAATCATATAGAAGTGAGTATTTGTTGAGTACTGACTATGTGTGATTTCTTTAGTTTCTACTTTAGACTGACTTTTTGCTCAGTAAAAACTCACCTCCTCTTTATATAGTTTATTATTATCTAACTGTGGCATTGACAGTTGAGGGCAGTGATGTAAGCAGTTATATTGAGACAATATATATAACTATCCTGCCAGATCTGGACTTACAGTCATTCTTTTCATGTTGAGGTAGGCCACATGTGTGTAGTTGCACAAGGAAGCAAGACAGAGGCATGGAATTCTCTGGAGCTGGAGCTACAGGAGGTAGTGAGCCTCTAGACATGGATGCTAGGAACCCAAACCAACCCTCCAGATCTTACAGTTGTTCTTTTAAATGATGGTCTCTTCTAGTTGTTGCTGCCATCCAGAAATGTAGATATAAATAGATGATGAATTGCTTCAAATATCACTGAATGACATGCTTTATTACATCCCAACTTTATAAGTTAAATTTCTACTTATATCCTGTCCTTTTTCACACACAGGCACAATGTAATCTTGTGTGTAAACTTTGTGCTTTTTTCATAACCTAGCAAGAGTGGAAAAACAAAATGAAAACCAATCAAAAAACAAAATGGAGAACAGTGTGAGTTAGTGAAGCTTGAAGACCCCTCACAGGACCTCCAAAATTAATTCAACTTATATCTTTTAAAAATGCCTTGACTTCAAAATTTAAGTATAAGGATATGTTACTTTGGAAAGGAGTTATTGTTTATGTTTCTACAGGATTTCCCCATCAAGAAGTGCTACAGACACCTAAGAGAGTCACGAAGTCCAAGATTTCATCTATTCACACTTCCAGAGGAGCAAATGACTGAGACAGCTGGTTAGTAATTCTAATGGAATATTTCAGACTCCTGCCAGTTGGATGAAGGGTAGAAGAGAATATTATCTCTTCCCCTAAAATGGGATCTTTTAGCCAAACATTGTCAGAAATCCCTGTGGTTTCTGCTCCTGGAATGAGGACCTTAAAGGGTGATTAAATGCTCACTGCAATGTTCAGCACCTTCAAAACTGCACCAATGCAATGGTTAAGAAAACTGTAGGGAAATGTGTGTGCTCCTTTTGTGTTAGTAGAAGAGGAAAATAGAGTACAAATATTTGTTTTTCATTGTTATTTTTCTTTTTATTTGAGAAAATAATGGCTCAGGAGGTAGACAGAACTCAATAAATTTAAGGTCAGCCTAGTATGCTTAATGAGTTCCAGACAACCAGGGATACGTAGAGAGACCCTATCTTAAAAAACAGCAACAAAAACAAAAAGAAAGGAAGGAAGAAAAGAGAGAGAGAGACAGAGACAGAGAGAGAGAGAGAAAGAAAGAAAGAAAGAAAGAAAGAAAGAAAGAAAGAAAGAAAGAAAGAAAGAGAAAACTAATAGGTTCCCTTAGTATTGATCCTGTCTCTAGGAATACAGGGTTACAACTTTCTCAATTATCATTAGAAAGTCATCATAGGATAATATCTTACCCTGGGTTTTGTCCTTCCCTACATCCTGTCTGATGTCCTTTCTACAGCTTAGCTGAGCTGTCTTTCCTAAATCTGTGTGTGTGTGTGTGATCTATTTTTTTATTTATTTTAGAGGCACTCTTATTTACATATACATCCCCCCATTCCCTCACCCTCCCATCATCCCATGCTACCTACCGACCCCCCACCCACTCCCCAGGGATAGCAAGGCCCTTCACGGGGGATCATCAAAGTCAGTCACATCATTAGGGGGAGGGCCTATTCCTAAATCTTATCAGAGCTATCTTTCCCAATTTCATCCCTGTGCTATCTTTCATCTCTCAGGCACTGTCATGATCAAAACATGTAAATGAGGCACATTCTCTCTCTCTCTCTCTCTCTCTCTCTCTCTCTCTCTCTCTCTCTCTCTCTCTCTCTCTCTCTGTGTGTGTGTGTGTGTGTGTGTGAGTGTGTGTGTGTCTCACACGGGAAAGGTTGAGGAAAATATTTTTTGTTCTTAGTTACTTTACATCATGATGTCATATTCTCTACTCTCCCCCCATACCATTTTTTTGTATCCAGAAGAGAACTCACAAACTGCAATCATAACCCATTAATTAAGGTTTTGCTTTCTAGAATGAAATGAATCTTACATGACTAGCTGCTTAGCGCTCACACTTGTCTCAGGCTCACTATTGCAAAACTGTCAGAAGGACAAACTACAGTCAGCCTTCAGTTCCAAGTTAAAAGATGCCTCACACTCCCTCCTCTATTAAGGATGAATATTAAGGATGAGCCTATGCACATGACTTCAGTTCATAAAAAGTTTAAAAGTGCAGCTGGAATGCTTAGAATTTGATTATTACATAAATAAGTGTGTGAGAACACATGTAAACTCAGCCAGAGTTAGTACCAGATGCTCCAGTAACCCAGTAACGTTCTTTCAATCTCCATCTCACTTCCAGCTGTCTAGTTTGGTGGTGAAGCTTAATCTGATTTCAGATAAGCAGGTATTAACTCCATCTCTGATGTCCATAACCTCATTGTTTTATTCATAGTAGTTATTATACTTAGTATTCAGTACTATTAATAACATAACCCTGATATACTTTTTTTACATATATCTCCTTAAAACACAAGATATTTCAACTCCTAGTTGTTTAAAGCATAAGAAGAATCTTCTATAGGCATAAGTATGTACTCTGATATTGATAGAAATTGATTTCCTAAATTATAGTTCATTTAAGTTTTCTCTTACCACTTCCAACTACCAGACAGGCAAAAGTTTTATGTCTAGAACACAAACTTTGCATCTTTTTCGGGTCCAGCCTTACTCATAGCTAACTGTATCTATTTTATTGGTAAGATTGTGTTTGTTTGGCTTCTGGAGTTTTCAAATACAAATTATGCTTATATGTTAAATAGCATATAAATATAAAACAAACATGCATGTAAACATATTTATATATGTGTGTGCATGTTTAATTGTACATAATGTGTGTGTGCATGTTTAATTGTGATATACTTGTATTTGTTTTATGTATGTATTTGTTTAGGGGTACACACCTGGCATGGCACATATGTAGATGTCAAAGGAAACTTGCAGGAGGCAGTTCCTCCTTCCACCATGTGTGTTTTTGGGGGGTAATTCAGGTCATTGGACTTTGCAGCAATCACCTTTTACAGCAGAGGCATCTTGTCAACCCTAATTACATATTTGTAGAAAACATGGTTAGATTTTAGAATAAGCAAATCTGTTAGCTGATATTTATATATACATATATATTAGATATCTATATTAGACATATATCACATATGCTTTTTATTTTTCTGAAAAATTATATAAGTCCTTAATGATATAAAATAGTTTTTTCTTCTTAGTTTTAATTTGCAATTATCTCAACAAGCTATACAACACATATGGAATGTGTACATTTCTGTGTTCTCCTCATATTCACTGTGTTGAAATATGTCTCATTTGTTTTTTCAGATGGATCCTTGTCACTCGCTGAATGTAGATATGGTCAGAATACATGAAAGTTATGTATATAATTATGTATATGCCAGAACAGCCTTCTGAAGTTTTGCAAGTTAACTTCATAGTCTTCTGAGTCTACTTCCTAAAAATAAGAATATTGCCTTATTTAGAAGCAAACTTTAAAGTGACACTTTTTCTAATTTTCCTCTATATTCTAATTTAGTTGTTGACCCAGTGGTACCTTTTATGCCATTATTTTCTCTCTAATATAAGACTCATCTTAGGATCACATTTTGCATAATCTCTTTGGTCTCCTTTATGATGGGGTTTTCTGGGAAGCTTTTCTTTGTCTTTGATAACACTAATATTTTTGAAACTATATTTCTAGTCTTAATAATAAAAAAGCCTTTGCCTTGTCTGTGTGATGTTTCCAAATGAGTCTGTAGCTATGTGTATTGTTTCAAACAGTAAGTAAATGCAACCATGTTCTTCCCAGTGTCACATGTGGAGGCAACTTACACCTACCCCTCCTCAATGCTAATTTTAGTTCAATTGCTTGGATAATTACTGAATCTCACTACCAAATGGTTACCAGTTTTTCTCTTATAATAGTAGTAAGAAATGTGTGGGGACATAACATATTGCAAATATAATATACAAGAGGAATGATGTTTAAATAAGCTTTTAAATCATTCTATGATCACAGTCATATGGAGAGAAAGTCCTGAAAGTTATAAGGACACTCCTACACACACACACACACACACACACACACACACACACACACACACACACACACACACACACACATACACCTTCCTTTATTGTAGCATTGTTACCTATCCATTAGTATTCAATGCCTTGTGATTGTATCTGCCCATTTCTCACTTCCTACTTCCTTTCCTGGTCTCAGTCTTGCTTTGGCAGCAAATGGAACAGATTGAGTATATTCTCTGCAGGAGACTGTGGAATCAGTTACAAGCCTTGAGGAACCATCAATGGCTCTGAAGTTTTCTGAGAGAAATAACTTATTTGGAGGAAAAGTTCAAAATGAGTCAAAAATGAAAGCAAAAGTTATTTAAAATTAAAATAAAAAATGAAAAAAACTGGAAAATGATAGGTTTTAATGAGCCTCCCACAGAACAACAGGAAGACTGAAACCAAACTAACAAACTGGAAGGCATGTTACATGTATGTTACAGCAAGAAGTGGAGGGAAAACCCTTCAATGAAAAGAGGTCTGTCTTCATGTGAAAACATCGCTGTAGCAGAGAAGATACTCTATGAACTTAGCTCCTCTAACCATGATGTCAGGAGGGGTGCAGCATGGTCCAGGTAAGGGATATTGCATTGGAATTGAATGTTCTCAAAGACCCAGATGCTGAAATTTGGTCCCAAGAAGCTGCTACTGAGAAATGGTCAATATTTAAAAGTGGATATGAACATGATTCCTTCTTTCTTTTCTTCCTGACCATGAGCTGAGCAGTCGCACACTACCATGTGCTTGCCAATATCATCACCAGCACTCCTACCTACTGTGAACTGAAATACACCTTTCTTTTTTGTAAGCGGATTATCAGACACCTGTTGTAGTTACTGGGAACATCTCAATTCATGTAGGAAGGAGCAGTAGATAAAAGGAATAATCACAAGAAGGAAGTGATTTCTAGTCTCTTGCTTCAGGCTCACAGCTGAGATGCATGGCACGATTCTGGAGTAGAACAGCCAATTAAATTCACTTCTTGAATTGTTTTCCATGATGAGGAGTATGTTTTATTTATATGCAATATTATAAAACTTATTTTAGCAACACACTGTATAATCGACTTCAAGCTCACCTCCAAATACTCAGAAATTTAAAAAAAATGTTCATGATGTTAGTAAGAGTAGTCTAATTAGCATTCTTATAGAATGAGCTGTAGATTTACTGGAGACTTACTGAAGAGAAAAATACCAGAGTCCCAGACTAGCACATCAATCATTTGAGGCTGCCTGACACATTCGAAGAGGATATCTTGGCACAGAAATCACATTGCTGTCTTAAGGCTGTAGCCCTGGGTCAGAGCATTGTAAGAACAAAAGATGAGCAGTTTTGAGAGGAACCAGCTGGCTAAGGTGATCCAAAGTGCATACATGTTAAAGGCTCACTGTTCCAACAATGTCATTACCCAACACAAGAATAACACAATAGCGATTAAAAAACTGAAGAACTTGATTTACTGTGTTGACCCTTCGTGTATGGCTATTTGTGAATTCCTTTTGCTTTCACAATAATTTTTAGCTTTCTACTTCTTAATTTTAATTTTTTTATTTTGTGAAAAATGACTATTAAAAACCAACCAAGTATCCCATAAAAGTTGAAAATTAAATCACAGTTTAATCTTTGTAAGAAATGTATGTATAAATGTGTTGTTTTGTGTTTGTGTGTGTGTGTGTTTGTGCACGCACACGTGCACGCACTGAGGCATTGTCTTATTTATCCAGGTGGGCAGAGGATGAGACATATGCTTTGATTACAGGTGTAAACCATCAGACTCAGCTCTTTCATGGCTTCTTAAGTGGTCTAAAGCACATGTAGAATAATGGTATGTCTGAAGTCAATTATAAATTTCTAATGTGTGATTGAATGCAAAATGGGTGATCTAGAACTAAAGATGTGAGTGGTCAGAGTCATGGGCTCTAAGCAGAAACTAAATGCACATTAACTTTGGAGTCACAGGGCATGTGTGAGTATGTGGCTAAAGTCATAGAAAATAGTTCTACATTTTTAAGACTGCAGCCATTGTTTCCACTACAAACACTAAACACTTAGTGAGTTTCAGGACTTTTCCCAACAATTGCATAGAGACATTATACACTCTAGAAAAGAATTACTGTACCCTTTAAAAGTAATTAAAATAAAACAACATATACTATAGAGTCAACAGCATACCACCCAACTCAAAAATATTCAAGTTTGTTTATTTAATAAATGTTATTAAGCATTTAAAAATCTTTATGCATAGTTCTGTAGCATTACTGAGTACATGATTTGGTCATGTGAAACTGCATGATATGTACACCATGCCAGGAGGATATTTACTACTTCTCATATGAACATTTGAAAACCGCAATTCCATTGAGTGTCCCTTTGTGAGTAGGTTGTTTCTATTTTCAATTATAGGACAATGTTATGGCATAAAATAAGCAGAACTACAAATCTGATAGTCAGTCTTTGTAAGTTTCTCACGTTTACCTGAAATCTGTAGTCTTTGGATATGAGTGAAATTAATTCAGCTGCAGCTTGCTTCTTTTTCTTTTTCCTTTTTTTAACCATCAAAATAGCCTCATAGAGATGAGCTTTGAAGAATGCCTTAAACATACTCTTTTTTCTTTTCTCCTTGGGTTAGTATCACGTGAAAAATCAAGATAGGCATTCTTACTGGAACATCAGAAGTAATGCTGGGTATGAACAGGCTTACACTATACTTAACCACAGTAATCCTTCCCAACACACACAGAGACCTACTGATAACCAGATTTGGCATTTCAAATATTTTTACCCAAGGCAAAGGCTTTAGGGTGTTTTCTTGGAATTAGAGAGTTTAGAGATGAAAAGCACGTCATTTATTATTTTCTCTTTCTGTCAGCTTAGTGTGTCTTTTCAAAATCCTGTCTATAACACTGAGCCTATCTGTTCTTGAATATCTTACCTGTTGAAGGATGTTTCATCATAAGGTGTTCTCAAATCTTAGAATACATGCACCCAAGGTCTTGGCTGAATAATCGGCCAATAAAACCAAGTAAGCCAACATATTGAAAGAGGAACTTGGATTCAGAATCAGAAGTCCTAGTTCCAGTGAGGAGTGTACAACACAATACTTAACAAATTTTACCATATCTGTTTTCTGTTTCTTTGTGTGATGTGTGAGAGGGTCCCTAGATGATTCTGCCAGGTAGATAATCAGATAAATGTGTCATTTCTTCAAAGTAATCAAGTAGGGCAAAAATGTTTAAACAGTTTATGTAAGAGTATAATATAAACATCAGAAAACTAAATTCTTATTTCTAAATATTCACTTTCTTGATATTTGTATTATGTGCTGAGTAGTGACGATTTAAATATCTCTTAGACATGAGAGCAGGAAATAGCTTGCCACACTGTCATCTTCAAAAGTGTTTACATATGACCTTGACTATAAATTCTAAAAACTAAACATTCAGTTTTGTTTTTATTAACACTTAATGAAGACAATGACAGACCCCTCCTAAAAGGTGACTCCCTCCCCCATTCCTCCAAAAAGAAAAACAGTATTAAGTCCAGTAAGGTGTCACATGCATTTAATCCCAGCACTTTGGGAGGCTGAGTTGAGAAATTTGTAGGTCTGAGGACAGCCTGTAAGATACTATATGACAATGATTTATATAACAACTGCCCCTCAAAGAAACTACCTTAATTCTCTGATGACATAAACAGCCATTTGCTATAATATGGATGTGGGCTCTTTACCAAAGGTCTGCATTTTTTTGCACAGTCCACCCTCAGTGTAGCAATTTTGGACTTTCACCTTTAAAACTGTTTTTATGCAACCATAGGCATTTCAGTGTGGTAGGAAAAGAAAAGAAGATTGCACTTAGCCCTTTGATTTTCTTACTTGAGAACCTACTGTGGTGATATATTGTTTATGATTTATTAAAGCTTGCCTGATAATTCAGAAAAGCAAAGTCAGCCTCAGCCTATAGAAGTCAGAAAGACAGTGGTGATACACATTTTTAATCCAGCAGCCAGAAGCTAGGAGGTGGTGGTATACACCCTTAATCCTAGGACTCACGATTAAGAGGTAAGGAGATCTCTGTGAATCCAAGACCACCCAGATCCACACAGGATTGATCCAGTCCTAACGAGAAACAGCTCATACAAAGATTATCTCAGCACTAGAGGGCTATAAAAGATAGGATCAGGGTCTTTGGTAGTCAATATCAGGCATTCATTCTCCAGGCACATTGAGGATATGAAGACTTTCAGTCTCAGGATTCTCCAGCCATGCTGAGGAGAGGCAGTAGGATTATCCCATTCATCCTGAGGTAGTGGTAAGAGCTAGTGACCTGCTAGTCTGCTTTTCTAATCTTCAGCTTAAAGTTTGAACCCCAATATCTGTCTCTAGGTCTTTTATTTTCCTTGTTACAACCTACTGATCTGTATAATTTACATGTCTCCAATGCTGTTGGAGTATTTGACTTTATCAATAGGCTATTTATGATTACAAAAACATAATCTCTGGTTTGGTGATAGAGAAAAACTGTCCAGGCCCAGAATATCAAACCTGAACCCTGACTTCCAGAACCTTATCTATAACTATTACATACAATCTCAGTGTTTAAAAGTGTGCTGTCCATAACTTTTGACTTTACAATGGCACAAAACTAGAAACCTTCCATGGAAACCAGGCTTCAGTTTTGAATTTTGAACTAGTCCAAGCCTATGGCTATATAGCAGAGAATACTTGTGTGCTTCTGGACAGCAAGTGTTAGCATTCTGTCTGGTATTCTTGTGTGATGTTATACAGCAACCTCAGAACACAGCTCCCAGTTGATTGTGTGATTGTCGGGACAACAGAACTCTTCAGGGCATTGTGCTGTGCAGTGCTCAGTAAATGAGCCATATGAAAACCCATTTCCAACCCTTGATATTTTCACTATAGC